TTATTATCATTAGTATTATTATTATTATAATTATAATTATTGTTGGGTGTATTACTATTATTATTATTATGTTGAATATTACTATAATATTATAATAGTATTATATTATATTATATTATATTATTATTATTATTATTATAATGATTATTATAATTATTATATTAGAATTATTATTGGGAATATTAGTGGTTGAAATAAGTAAAATAAGAGGTGGAAGGGTTATTGAGAAGTTAGAATGGAAATATGAAAATTCATGATAGAAACCGTGAGGAAGGAAATATGAAGGGGTAGCAAGGAGATATTAGAAAAGTTGGAATAGAGAGAAAAGGGATTACCATAAATCGTGGGAAATTGGTGTGATAATAATAATAATAATAATAATATTATTATTATTATTATTATTATTATTATTATTATTATGTTATTTTTATTAGTTATTATTATTATTGGGATAGGAAATAAAAAGGAAAATAGAATATGAAGGGGTGGGGGAAGTATTAGAGAAAATAACACGATAGAAAGAGGGAAGAGAGAAAGAGCAATAGAAAGAGAGAAGAGGAAAGAACGAGAGAAGTGAGAAGAACGAAGGAAAAAGGGAACGAAGAACGAAAAGAAAAGAGGAGGCCAAGAGACCAAATCCAGGAAGAATTTCATCGATCAACCGATTAACAAGGTAAGGGGGGAGAAACTTGATTGGGAATGGTATATACATGTATAGGGTAGTGGGGATTCCTTAACCCCGTAGGAATGTATCGTTGATGAAGTTTTATATTGACATGCTATTGATTGTTGAGTTATGTTGATGTTGATGGATTGAAATATGTTGAGTGTTGGTGAATTGTTGTTTTTGGTTAATTTGGCGTATAGATTGAGTTTACGGTTTTAGGGAAGTTCTGTGTGACCTTTTTGATGTGTCGATAGATTGTTTAAGTGATGACTTTGGAATAATATGTATATGATGATGTACGGATGTTTGATGTTGCCATTGTTGATTGACTGTTGGTGTTGGTTTGGTTTGAGTAAGGTTCAGAGTAACTCTAAAGTGCCGGTAGTGTGCCGTAATGTTGATCTGGAGTAGAATTATAGGAAGATTGATAAGCCTAATATGCATTGGTCCTAATACGGATAGTATAGGAAGTGGATGTTATAGAATAGGCTTGAATCGGAGAAGAGTGAGAATTCTGAACTGTGAGAACTTGAGAAGTCGCAGGCAACTTGCTAGCACTTCGCTTAGCGAGAAGGCAGCGAGCGTTCGCTAGGTGCTCGCCTAGCGAGTGAGGTAGCGAGTGAGTCCAGTAGGTTCTGCTGTCATTCGCGAGGAGGTTCGCTAAGCGAACAGGTAGCGAGCATTCGCTGGGAGCTCGCCTAGCGAGGGTGTAGTGAGCGTAGCAGAATGTGGTTTTTCTATGCTGTTATGCTGTGTGCGCTAAGAGTGTAGTGCCCTTGGACTTTGTTGATTACAGGGGAGATGATTGAGTGTTATAGAGTGAGTACTCGGTGATAGTATGTGATTTCCGTTACTAATTATTTAAATGGATAATTAGTTGGTGTATGAATCGTGCGGAGCATGGTGTAGTGATCAGTAGGATCGTGTATTCCTGAGTGGTGGGACGTGTTTATATCTTGGTGATAAAGTATGAACTTGTTTACTTGGTGATGGTACTCGTTTTCCTTGATATTGTTGGTGAACAATTGGTTAACGTATATGTATGTAGTGATCAGTAGGATCGTGTGTTCCTGGGTGTTGGGATGTGGTTATATATGGTGTTATAGTATGAATTTATTTACTATCTGATTGATTTATATGGTGTTGGTGTAATATATCTACACATATATGCATTGATGTATGATGATATGATCAGGAGGATCGTGTGCACTTAGTGTGCCTAAATATGATAGTTATGCATTGGTGTGTGCATATCATGGTGTTTTTGGTGGGATGAATCATGTCTCAGGAGGAGCGTAAGTGATTCATCCGTACTCCTTGGTGGAGAATGGTGGGGGATAGATCATGTCTCAGGAGGAGCGTAAGTGATCTATCCAGGTTCGATTGAATGAACCAATGAGTCGGTACCGCATGCATGGTGTTGAGTTGCATATTTGCATTATAATATGTTATATTGTAATTTGAACAGTAGGTTCGTTATATGGAGTTGTTGGGGTGAATATTGGTGTGTTGGTGTGTTTTACTACCTTGTTTACATGTATTACATTACCAATATATTTTTGATCATGTTTTCTCACCCCTTGGTTGTTGTTGTGTCTGTGCTTCTCCGGAAGTACAGATAATCCAGGTACTTAGATAGCTTGGATGGTGGTGTGCCAGTCGAGTCTAGGATGCTCTGATACGTAACATGGGATATGGGTGTTTTAATTGTTTTATGTCAAACTTGTTGTAATCCTGTGACGTATCACTTTTTTTTTGTGAGTTATAATAATAAAGATTTTACGAAATTTGGCGGATGGCCGAGAATGTTGGAATAATGTTTTCCGCTGTATTATTTTTGAGAATGATTAATAAAGTATTTTTATAAAAATTTGGTGATGTGATATCCCACTATTTTGGTGAAAACTCTGATGTTTATTTATAATGTTTATATTTTATTTAATTTGGGAAGTGGGGTGTTACACCTATGACTCCATAGAAAATAAATAATCAACAACTTCCCCTAGTCACAGAGGAACAATTACCACTTCTTGGGGGTTCCGTGAACTTTAGGCCCATAAGCCTCTATAAACATCTCAACCTTAGGGTTTAAAAGACAAACTATAATACACATGATACACCACTAATAGCTACAGAGCTTCTCAGCTCATGTAAGCTTGCTTCCTTAATACCATAAACATCACCAAATAGAGCCTCTCGCTACTGTGAGCAAGCCATAATCTCCCAAAAAAATTACTAAGGTCTCTAGCCACCCCTATCAGCATAAGGGTGCCACACATTATGTAATTTTTGACGAGTACACTTGTCGTTCCTCTGATCCAAGGTGATCATGGTACAAGAGTCCATGACCTCAAACTCGTTCAAAAGTTGGATCACCTCTACCTCTTCAGTAGTAAGATGGTTGAAGTTTATGACACGTGCAAGAGATTAATGCTAATTTGGCGTCCCAAGGTTAAATAATCATTAATAACATTAAATACCTCACACGTTTCCCCTCAATTGACATTTGGGGATTTTTCCTCAGTTGATGTATGTATCACATCATTGACACTTGGAGACATATCATAAAGTCGTCCCATATATACGACAGACTCGACATACATGAGGGACTCACCCCCTTATATGAGGGACTCGCCTCATGCTTTAGGGACTCATCCAAATAAGGAGAAAGGAACAAAAATAAATTACGTTGCCCTTTTCAACACCTTTGTGTTTAAGAGACTCTATATTGGTATTTTAGTAAAAGGCCCACGAGGGGGCGACATGAGAGACAAGTGATGCATCGCCTAACCCATAAAGCTCTCCCCATCGTCCGTTTCCTAGATCGATTGCCCATTTATTACATACGTCGTCTTTTTATTTTAAGGATAAGTTGTCAGATGTGGGAAATGGGGGAACTGACCTGTCTAGGTCCACAACGGTGTGTAATACGTCATTCTGAAGTTAACCACGCTCTCCTGAATAATAAGAGATTAAGTACCCACTTTCACATTCTCTTAAAAAATTGTTACTATTTCTAAAGAGCTTAAGATCATGACACAATACTGCTATAAATACCCCTACAACATGCCCTAAAACCTTTGACAATCCTTAATCATTACGATTTGTCACATATTGTGCTTTTAACAAGTACACCATTTATCTACTAATGAAAGAAATCTTGAATTACTCAACTTGTACTTTATATTGTTGGTGCAATAAACTTATATAATAGAGAAATTTATTAAAAGGATTAACACACTTTCTATCTCCCTAACTAAAGTTTTTAAGAAACTTAACCAACTAACAATTACATAATAATCTCTAATATTTAAACAAAAAAACAATTAATATCAAAAGAAGTGGTTTTAGGTCAAAATTAACCCTAAATTATTCTTTTATAATAGATGATGAAGAGAAATAGACAATTTGTGGTTAAGAGTAATCTTGTGATATCAACTGTGATTATTTAAATTGGTGAATACATCTACATATAAAACCATCAAATTAATTACATAAAGTAAAATACTTCCCCAGTCATCTTTGTTGGGTACAAACTCGTCCATCCTTTATTATAAGACTCCTTCCAAATTTCATGGATATTTAAAAAAGTGTGTTAATTTTACATAATTATTCATATAATTAATAATAAAATAATAAAATAAAAAAAGTAATTTATATTTAAAAAAGTGTGTTAATTTTACATAATTATTCATATAATTAATAATAAAAGAAAAAAGAAAACAGTAACTTATATTTTCCAATTATTAATTTAATACAAGTATAGTCGAATAGGCATACATTTTTTTAGAGAGTCTTAGAAAAAATAAATTAAAAATATAAAAAAGCTAATCTTATTAATTAGAGAAAAAAAATAATAACATATGTTTATAGGAAACAATTAATAATTTTTCTTTGCTATACACAATTAACTATACTCCTTCCAATTTTAAACATATACAATTATAAATTGAATCAAAATACATTAATTTTTTCCCCTTATATTTAAGATTCAAGGGTTTCTTAATTTATTTAAAATTAACAAAAGTGATTTACAATTGTAAAAATATATATATATATATATATATATATATATATATATATATATATATATATATATATATATATATATATATATATATATATATATATATATATATATATATATATATATATATATATATATATATATATATATATATATATATATATATATATATATATATATATATATATATATATATATATATATATATATATATATATATATATATATATATATATATTAAGGAACAAAAGAAAAAGGGAACAAGTGAGACAAATCCAAACACTTCTTCACTCCACTCTGCACAAAATGAGGTTCTTTCTTTCTCTCTTTTTCCTTTTACTTTTGCTGAAATCTCAAACTTTTCTATGATCTTCTATGAAGAAAAACTATCATTACTTGCACTATTGCTTTGTTTTAGCGTTGCCCCATTTCAATTTGATGTTATTATTTGCTTTGCTACATTTGTTTTCAGCATCAAAATCATATCCTTTGTAATAATGAAGAAAAGAAAAAGAAATTTTATGATATATTGTTGACTCATTTGTTTGTAAAGCCCTGTGAAATTTCAATATTCATAGTCATTTAAACAATTTTGTGTTTATTAGGTAATTGAATGTTAGTTTTTAAATCGCGGAATCTGATATCGCGATGAATTGCATTCGAAGACTGCTGTTAGGGTTTCAGTTATGGTTGCATTGTAGAGACATTAGAAACATTTGATGTTGAGGCTTAAATTGTAGTCACAGGACATTTTTGTAAAACCCTATAAAGTTTCAATTATGTTATTGAATGTTGGTTTTCAATCGCAATATTTGATATTGCGAAGAATTGAATTCAATAACACTGTTAGGGTTTCAAATATGGTTGTATTGCAGAGACATTAGAAAGCTTTGATGCTGTGGCTTAGATTGTAGCCGTTGAACATTTTTGTATGAGTTTCAAAATTTTGATCATTCAAGCAAATTATTTTTATTAAGTTATTGAATGTTGGTTTCAAATAGCGGAGAATCGCATTAGAATTAGAGTTTTAACCTAAACAGGCTTCAGGTACTCTTTAACAATGGAGGCCTATTTTTATACAAAATATCAGTAGACAAGTAGTGTATTGGTCGAGCTGATTCAAGGCTTCCCCGAGTAACCCCACGGGTTGTTCTTTGCCCAATTCCACTGGTCCCTGCACATTTCCTCTACACCATATTTGGCCTTCCAACCGAGTTCTCTCTCAGCTTTCTCTGTAGATGCATAAACCTCGGTAGCATCTCCCGGCCTTCGCGGACACAATTTCAATGCGATTTTCTTACCAGAAGCTTTATTAAATGCGCCAACCATTTCAAGCACAGATGTACCACGACAGGTTCCCAAATTGTAAGCCGTTCAACCTATGTTTTCAGTTGCGAAAAGCTTTCTCAGGGCAGCAATGTGACCATCTGCTAAGTCCATCACATGGATATAGTCCCGCACTGCAGAGCCATCCCTTGTAGGATAATCATGACCGTAAACATTGAGCTCAGATAATCTTCCGACGGCTACTTGCTGTATATAAGGCACGAGGTTATTTGGGATGCCCCTAGGATCTTCACCAAGTTTACCACTTTCGTGTGCCCCAACTGATTGAAGTATCTCAATAAAATGATTCTCCATTCTGGCTTAGCTTTTTGAATATCTCGTGCAATTTCTTCAAGGAAAAGCTTCGTCCATCCATAAGGGTTCATTGCTTGTAACTTGAAATCCTCCACACATGGCATCTTTTCAGGTTGGCCATAAACAGTTGCAAATGATGAGAAAACCATGTTTTTGCAATTGTGCTTAGCCATAACCACATAGAGATTGATGGTGCCGACAAGATTATTATCGAAATAATGATGAGGATTTGCAACACTTTCACCAACTGCTTTTAACCCAGCAAAATGAATCACAGCGTCGAATTTAGTTTTCGAGAAGAGTTTCTCCAAATCATCTTTATTCCTGAGATCTCCCTATGTGAATTCAAGATTCTTAGAAAGGGTTGGACCAACTACTTCACGAACACGGTCCACTGTTTTCATAGCAGAATTATCGAAATTATCAATGATGGAAACATGAAACCCATCTTTGAGAAGCTGAACCACGGTGTAAGCACCAATGAAACCGGCCCCGCCAGTTACAAGTATCTTTTGCGATGAAGAAGCCATATATTGGAATCGGAGAGATAGAGAGAGGCTTGGGATATTGATGTTTTGAAAAAGGTGATAGATTTGGAATTTGAGTTTTGGATTTTATATACAGTTATGAGATATTATTAATAGCTATTTTTGGGTAATGGACAGAAAATTGGGATCTGGAATGATTTTATTAGTTTTTAATTTTGTTTATCTCTGTATTCCGTTTTTGATTTGTTAAATTTGGCGCGCAGCTAATTTAAGATAAGATTTGTAATTCTGTTTTGTAAATAGGATCCATTTTTAGCTTCTGGATTGGATTGCCAAATAAGCTTCTTTTCAACCGCGCGTCACCACTAAGCTATTTTGTTTTAGAGAATTAGGCCAACCTCTAATTTTAAGATGGCATTCAGAGACTATCGATCGGGCCACGGACCACGCGCTGTTTATATGCACGCCCAAGTTCCATAATGCTGAGCGCGAGGAGTGTATTGGAAAATTTTCAAATTCCACATTGGTTATCGATAGAGTCTGGAAATAGTTTATATCGAGTGACACGTCTCATCTTACTAGCCGGTTTTATAGTGAGGATTAGACAAACTCTGATTCTAATAGTTGTATTGTGGTTACATATATTATTGGAAAACCCTATTGTTGAAATATTATTTCCCCCCTAATTTGATTTTTGATTTGTGTGTAGCCGCCATCCGGAAGTTCTGTGGGCGCAGCGTTCTAATAAGCTTTACCTGACTGTTTCTCTAACTGATGCCAAGGATGTTTCTGTGAAGTGTGAGCCTCATGGTTTGTTTACTTTCAATGCTTCTAAGCTTCAACATGAATCATACAGCTTTACATTGGAACTTTATGGATCGATTGAACCTGAGGTGAGTCATCTTTTGCTTAGTTGCATTTGAAAATTGCGATTGCATTTGTCTGCATTTTCCACAATATCAACGATTGTATCTTGAGTTTTTGACTCTTCCACTTTACCGATAGTTTCAGTTTTTTCCATATCAAGTTTTAAAAAGGGTGGATGGTTCTGTTGGTAAATCTGTCATTGTGCTGTGTAGGGCTGTAAAATAAAATCGAGCTCAAGAAACATACTCTGCTCAATTCAGAAAGGACAAAGAGGCTGGTGGAAAAGACTACTGAAGTCTGAAGAGAAACCTGCTCCATACCTTAAGGTTGATTGGAATAAATGGTGTGACGAAGACGAAGAATCAGATTGTAAGCTTTCTTTATCATAAATAATTTTTTGATTTCCGATTCAGAATATAACTCTAATTCAACATGAATAGAATATTAACTCTAATTCAACATGAATATTTATATATTGGTTCAACAACCGTGAAGATTAAAACTAAATCAATTACTTGCGAGTATTACACTTGTCTGATTAAAGTTTCTATTGGAATTATTGCAGCTGAATTGATATCTGACGATGATGGACGGGTAAGTCAACTTTATCGCTCGTCACATGTAATTTTGAGGTGTAGAGTTTAACAAACCTTGAACTCCAAGTACGTAATCTTATACAATGCAACTTGTTTTTTTGCAGTTTGCTGGTGAAGATGATGAAAGCAGTGATGATGAAGGAATGTTATGTAAGTGAATCCATTGCATCTCTATACTTAGTTGCAGCGATTCTTTCAATTGCTTAATGATATTTTTGGTAGTATTGATGTCTGTTTAGAACATATAGTTTATCAGCAAGACCGTCTTTGAATGCGGGCTATCACACAAGGTTCAAAATTTGTCACAGTTAAATTGTGGCTAATTAGAGTCTCAAAGTATTTGTCAAGATTAAGTCGTAGTTAAACAGGGTCCATATTTGTTTTGTCACAATTTAACAGTGACTAACCTACCTGGTGCCTCAAAAAACTTAACATGACCCTCTCTATGAGATACCTTAGTCTCTGTTTGGATAAACAACTTTGTTAAGCAGTTATGCTTATAGCATAAGCACTTATCTTACGGTTTATGTATCAAATGTGCTCTACTTTCCAACTCACACATGACATAAATGATTATCATTTGCAGATCTCCCTGACTTGGAAAAGGCTAGAGGAAAGTGATTCTTAGAGTAGTAACAAAGGTTAAAGAAGCTTCAAGGAGATGGAATTATATGTTAGTGTTAGTAGATAGGTACATGGATAGACTACTTTATAAGAAACACTGATATTGTTGTAGCTATCCTGTATTGTATATATAAAATCTGAGTAGTGCTTTCGAATCTGAAAACAGTCTTGATCTTGTTTGATACTCTTGGCACTAATTCTAGTAAGGTTTCTTTGATTGAATGGTGGTTGCATCATAATCTAACCTCTTTTATTGAAAATATGTTTTCTGAAATTATACAACCTTGACATCCATTATTGTTGACTCAAGTTTCTATCTTTGATGATAAATCCATGTTTCTTATTTATAGACACCATCAATGGAATGATTCCAGATTTTTTTGCCATATGCCTAGTGTCGCTACTGCGAAAATCGGCGCCGGCTGACAGAAGAGTCGCCACCGTGCGTTATTTATCCCTCAGAGCGGGAAAGGAAACGCTCGAAGTAAACCTCGCAAAAAAACGGGAAAAGGTATGGTCATCGCAACCATAGCCTGGGTTCGGGAGTCGGTTACGCAAGGGGAAGGTATTAGCACCCCTCACGTCCGTCGTACTCGACGGGATCCACGCTTGCTTGGGTTGTCTACTGGATGCAAAACAATCTTATCTACGGCTGCTAAATCTAAACGGAAGGGAATTGACTCGATAGAGCGTCGCACTCTATGCCTACGTATTCTCGAGAGAGAAAGTCAGAGTCAACGTAGTTCGGGACTACAGGAAAAAAAATTGGCTCGCAAAGACCTCGCGTCTTGTGCCTACGTACTTCCACTGGATGGAAGATCAGAGCTTTACGTAGTTCAGACTAACTACGGCTAGACAAACATTCTCACACAGCAGTGAGAAAAACAACTGGTTTCACAGGGTCGGGAACCTATGGTCAAAACTATGGCTCGGTCTCAAATGCACTCAGGCAAGAGAGAAAAAAGGGTACTCAATTAGTCGTCAGCGGGAAGGTCTCGATCGCACAGCAGCGAGAGAACAAAAGTTAGTCGTTAGTGTGCTCGCTAGGATATCGCATCCTATGCCTACATATCTTCGTCTGGTACGAAGAATCAGAGCAGCTGTAGTTCGGCTACTTCGGGACCACAGCTCAAATCTCGTTTTATTAATCTCTGAAAAATGATTACAATGAGTTGAATAATGAAATAAATCTCCTAGGAAACGCTATCCTATTCTATCTTGAAAAGATCGAATGAAAATAGCCCCCTAACAAATGGGCTTCTAAGCTATCCTAAAAGTCGTAAAATAAAGTCTATGAAAATATCCCTAAAAGAAAATGCTTTAAAAAATATTAATCCTACTTTAATATTTTTCTCTTTTTTCTCCTTTTCTCTTTAACGTATTTTTTCATATTTTTCAACATCTTTTTCTCCATATTTTTTCAATATATTCTTTCCATATTTCTTTTTCTTTTCTTTTTCTATATCTCAAATATATTTTTCTTTTATTATTTCTTTTTTCTAGAAACTCAAAACAAAAGAAAGAAAAGAAAATAAAATAAAAAAAATACAACAAAGAAAGGGAGGGGGGTACACTGCTATTACAGGGGGTATGCAAGAAAAAAACAAATAAAACAAAACTGTGAGGATTGGGCCCAGCCCAAATCTTTTCAGAAAAAACGCAGAGGGTATGTGAGTAATCTGGGAGTATGCCATTGAACCCCATTGGGCCTGAGCCCATCCTCATCAGAGAAAGAGAAAAAAACTTGAGGGGAGATGTTACTCCAAAAATTTGGTTGGGCCTGGCCCAATCTGCTGCGAACCCTTCCTCTCTTCCCTTTCAGCTTCCGTTCTGAAACAAAAGAAAACCCTAATCTTATCTCCGCCGCCGCCGCCGTTGACGTCCACTCTCAACCTTCTCCATTCTCACCGTCTCAGCCTCAAACCTCAATCTCCTTACTTCTTTCTGTCTGAACCTCGCGGACATCTCCTTCCCTCCAATCAAACAAAACGCATCTGCGAACGCGTGGTTGTTGCATGGATCTGAAGCACGGTGGTGATTGAGGAAGTTTCATTTGAAGCTCCTTGAAGATGCTTTGAAGATTTGCTGTTGAAGTGGTGGTTCGTTGAGGAAACAGGAAGAACAACGAAGGTGTCGATCGTGACGAGATCCATAACCTTCTAGAAAGCTATTATGGTGATGGACGAATGAAGATCCAGAATGGTGATCTTCGTCGAGTTCTTGAAGAATTTCTGGAGAGAAGAAAAAAAACGGAGGAATGTATGAAGGTTGGATACTCATGGAGTTCTTGGAGATACAACGAAGGTTTAAAGATTCAACAAAACAAATCTGGAAAAAACGTGAACAGGCTTGTGATGAACTTGATGAAATCGGAGGAAGATCTGTTGGAAATTTTTCCAGAATCTATGATGAATCTGAGAAACGTGATGGAGATCGTTAAACTTGGTGAAGATCATTGAAGTTCTCTGATGAACAAGCCGACGGCGAGCGCCTGGAGGAAGGTCGTTTGGAGATGGTGAAGGTTGAAGATCTTGAACGAAGATCGTGATGGATCAGATCTTGATGATGAACGTTCGTGGATTCTGAGAGTTCGTTGATGGTGGAGGACGAAGTCTGGAAGATTTACCTGAAGGTGGTTGAAGGTGGATGATGAACACGATGCAGATGAGAGATTTCTGGGAATTTTTTCTGGGGTTTCTGGTGGTGGCCGGAGTACAGGCATGGCGGTTGGGTGAGAGGAAGAAGATGAAGATAGGAGGAAGAAGATGCAGGTGGCGGTTTCTGGGATTGGTGGTGGCCGGAGTGATTCAGGCGCGGCGGCTGCATGGCCGCCGGCCATGCAACAGGGGAGCCCTCAGAGCGTGACGCGTGGTGGCGATGGTGGAGTGGGTCTCTGCATGTGGGACATGTGGCTGAGAGAGAGGGCGTCTGGGGGTGAGGTGGCGTAGCGTGGGTGATGCAGCGTGGGTCCTCTCTCCCTCCAACACGTGGCGCTCTGAGCTTATAAAGGCTGAGATTTCTGGCGCCTTCTGGAAGGTTCTAGCACTTGCTGGAATTAGCTGGATCATTCTGGACTCTTTGGACTGAGACTGGACAAAAACACTCTAACTGGGCCTGCGGAAATGAACTAAGGCCCAACGAAAATGAATAAAAAACCCACAAAAATCTGAATTGAATTAAAAGATTAATTAAATCTGATTAACCTAGACTAAACTCAATTAAACTAATTAACAAAACTCTAATAAATCTCTAATTAAATTCCACTATTAAATTCTATGAAAAACTATATTATAAAAGAAAACTCTAATTCCTATTAACCTATTTAATATCTAATATATGAAAAATCTATTTATGAAAAATCCATTTATTTATTATTTCTATAAAAGAAAACTCTATTTATTAATGAGAAATCTATATTATTCTATCTCTAAAATTAAAAACAATTAATTTCTATTAACAAAACTATTTATTAATAAGAAAAATTCTATCTATTTCTATATTAAAAGAAAAACCATATATTTCTATCAAAGTCATTTAATATCTAATATATTCAAAACTCAATTAATATCCTAGAAAATTCTATATTATCTTAAAAAAACCATTAAATCCTAAAAATCTATTTAAAATCTAATATATTCTAAAAATGAATTAAATCTATTAATATTCTATAAAATGCTAAAAAATGATTTAAAAAGAATTAAAAATATCAAAAATTCTATTAAATCCTAAAAAATGATTTAAAAGCTATTTAAACCCTAAAAAAATGCTAATAAAATCCAGAAAAATCACAATAATTCCCAGAGGGACAAAATAAGCACCGAACTGATAAAAAAACACCCGAAACACGAGACGAGAGCTGTGATCCCTGATAAAATCAAACCAAAAATGAAACAATGCCCTGTATGCAATATGCAGATGCGAATGCGATTATGCGTCGAAACATAGGACCAAATACGAGACCCGGTTGGTCAAATTTTGGGGTGCAACAGCTGCCCCTATTCAAGCGGCTTCGACCTGAGTGGGTGAAGAGCGCTCAGCCTTCAAACATTCAAGGTAGATGACGGTTGAATACAAATGGAACCCTGAAATTTGCCAACCGCGAGAATATACTGCAAAACTGCTTGAGGAATAGCTTCCAATAAACTGAAGTTTGGTTGTCACGGCAACAGCTGGTCAATTTCCTGATAAATTTTCTTCTCCTTTTCAACACCTGTGTGACGCCACAAGTATTGAAATAATGCTTCGTAAAGCAAACACCTTGATTCCCATCTCTCTCATGGGATCAACTCTGGTCCACTCACAGTTCACTGCGAACTTGAGGACAATTCTCCTGGGGAATTCTGAATGGAACTGCCTGGCACCTATTTTGACGAAGGGGGCAGCTTCAGAAGTCTGGTATATGTCAATCTTTGTTGTTGTTGTTGTTGTTTTTTTCCGATGCTGACGTAACAACCAAATGAAGAATCACTCCGCTGGGGAAGACAAGAAGCTGAACCACACAACTCTGCAGGTGAACAAATTCGAAATCCAATAGGTAACCATCTTGGTCTATGTTTCGACATGCGTATGCTTGAAATGATGCAATGTCCTATACGACATGTAAATGCTATGCGTTTTGTTTGAAAATGCGAGGCCCAGACGGCATGGATATGCTATATGCTTGTATAAATGCTATGACTATATATGCAAATGCTAATGCAGGCTCGAGCTGCCAGAGAACACCAGGTCTGAAAACCACTTGGCAAAATAAATGCTGAAGGAAACGCCAACTCCACTGGGGATGAACTGAAGTCACAGAACCATCTCAGCAAAATAAATGCTGGAAACGAGAAATCAAATCCGCTGGGGATAACTGCCCTGCTGGAGAAATGAAAAGGCAACCCTGCTTGACAACTTCACTGGGGAAAGAAAGACAACTCTGCTCGGGGATGCTTTCTTCAAACCATTGGCAACTGGTTGTGCTCTGCGGGGATTGACCCAAACTGAGGTTGATTACG